CTCCCCACAGGCACTTCTACCTCCTAGCAGGAGAGGGCGCGAGTGCGCAGACTAGCCAGTTCCAGCTTAAGCGGTGCTGACATCTGGTGAGCTAAAACCAAGTGGCCAGACAGAACCCAGGACCTCAATGAGGACGCGTTTAAGGCCAGAGCGGTTGAAGCAGAGGGAAAGCCGAGTATGTATGATCAAAATAAGTCATCAACACATTAACCACGTGGTTGGCGCCTATGTACAGATACATTTTACAGTAGCTTTTTATAAAATTGAAGTCACAAGCAAAATTATAGCGAATAGACAGTGAGACCTGTACTTACCGAGTTTAAATGTTGCCGGCTTTAGTATTCTTTCCTTTTAGTCTTTTTGGGAATGCTCAGGATGGAGCCTGAAATCGGTGCACACTGTGCAAATACCTCCACCACGGAGCTATACCCCGGTCCTCATTAATTTATTTTTTAAAACAATTTTTAAAATTCTACAGCCAGGTGGTGGTGGTGCATGCCTTTAATCCCAGCACTCACAGAGATCTGCCTGCCTCTGCCTCCCCATTGATTAAAGGTGTGCACCACCACAAACAGTCTCCTTGCATGTTTTGATTATGTATGTTTAAATGTTTTGTTTTCAAAATAGTCACAAGCTTCCAAAAGTGTTGTTTTGGTGCCTTGTGCACGAGTCTCGTCTTAGAATAAAATAGTCACAGCCTAAATCATAGGTTCCCTTTAAAAATAGTCTGTCAGAAATATATTTCATCTACTGAAGGAATAATAACCATTAGTAAAATAATAAGACGAATGTTAAATACTACATTAAACAGACTAATATGTTTAAATAGATTTAATATCCACCAGCATGCCTCTAGCTTAGTGTGATTTTTGGTTTTGTGATATTTGACAACTTGCTGTCTCCTTCTTCCTACACATAATCCTTTTCAGTACCTCAGAAACTTGCCATACTTGGACTGGGGATGTAGCTCAGGACTGTGGCGGACTGGCTGCCACTTTTACGACCCAGGGTTCTCTTGAGTAGGGAGAAGTGAGAAATATTAGCTAGAAAGAGATACCTAGACTATGAGAGGAAAGACAGAAACATAGGATAGCCTCGGGAGGGCCTGGATCCTCATCCATCCAGCCCAGAACTTTATTCCAAGGGCTTTTTATGACAGTGCCAAGTGGAGGAGCAAAGGACCTCCCCCTTGTGAGGTACAGTCAAGTGGGGACCCTTCCAAGCACCTGGTACTCAAGTCCGTGGTCCAATCATCCTCTCATGCAGTTCTGCTGGGTAAAGCCACCGGGAAACCTAGATGGGCTCCAACACAGGATGGAGGGTGTGCCCAGCATGCCTGAGGCCCTGGGGTTCAATCCTTAGGACCACAAAAGACATCAGGGTCAGGGAAGGGAGACAAGTTCTGTAACGTAGAAGTGGGACAGATTGGATTTCTTCGTCTGGGCTTGGTGATAGAAAGCCACATCTTGGTAGACGGATTCTGTCGGTGTCAGAAAGTCAGTCAGAAGACAGGAGGACCCAGGAGGGGCTGGGAGATGGCTCTGCAGTTAATTCTTGGGCTACAAAAGCTTGAGGACCTGAGGCTGGATCCCTAGAAGCGCATGAATGCCAGGTAGGTGTGGTGGCCTGCCTGTAACTCCAGCCTCGGAAAGTAGAGATGGGATCCCCAGAGCTAGCTAGCAAGAGGAGCCATATTGATGAGCTCTGGGTTTGATTGAGAGACCCTGTCTTGCAGAATTCTGGGAAAGAGCAATGGGGGATAATCCTTCATCAGTGTCCGGCCTCCCCTTGCACCAAAGGCCTGGTGCAGGGAAGAACAGCTGTTCTGAGTCAGGGCTGGGCAGCCCAGGCTGGAAGGACAGGGAACAACTGTTCCTGCTGGACCTGCTGCCTTGTGGAGACGCGCTTGTGTGTTTCTCCTGAAACACGTTTCTACAGAACACCTCTTTTATCTCCCTGCAGGGGTCCCGGATATGTGAGCCTCAGTTTAGCAGTTTCGACAAATGAGAGATTCATAACTAAGAAAGAAACAGTTCGGCACAAAGAGTCACATGGAAAATGGCACCATGTGTTATTTTAGAACACTTCTGTGGGCACAGCTCCTCCAGGGATTTTCCATAATCCCTGCAGCTGTCACGACATTGTCCAGGACCTGAAGAATGAGTAGATGTGGGCAGTGACATGCGGTGCCAACATGTCACTCCTCTGGGGTCTGTGGCCTCCTCTCACCCCGTGTGTGCATTCCTGCACGTTCATACACACACAGCTGTGGTAATTCTCCAAAGCACCCTCGAAGTTCCAGAAACATTCTATGGAAAGCCAGCATGGAAGGCAAGGAGGTTCCTGCAGAGAAATCCCTGTGCTTCTCCTGTGTGTTGGTGTGGCTGGGGCTGTTGCTACAGGGCATGGCGGCCCACAGTAGTAAGTCAGCCCTTGGAGGCTGGGGTTCAGGCTAGATTGCATGTCGAGACCCTGTCTCAAAACACAAAGACAATTTTTAAAATACTTCTATACTGGTTTTTCAAACTCCTCCTTATTCTTCCCCAACCCCTGCCGAGAACTCCCCCCAACCCCCACCCCAGATCTGACCCATGGCCCAGAAATGAACTAGTTTACAATCCAGTTCAGCAGGTGGTTGGGTGGAGTCGGGTGGGAGCCCCTGGATGGGCTGCTGCAGGCTCCAGCTGTTCCCTCAGCAAAGGTTGGGCCACAACAGCTGTAGATGTGTAAGCTTATAGTCTAATGAAGGAATCAGAAGATTCACCATGCCTAAACCATGGTTATTTATTCACAAATGTTTCTTATTAGTATTACTCAGGGCAATAATTTCCCACCTACTCTTTGCTAAAAATGAAAGGATTTTCTTCTATCCTGATATTAGCTGTAATACATATTCATCAGGAAATGTTTAAAAAAATAGCAAAAATGTTACTTCTGATGAGAACTTCGGCCGTGATGATTCTAGAATGTTCTTCTAGTAGGGGTCTGGGGAGGCAAGCACAAGAATCTGAGTTCAAATCCTTGGCAATCACATAAAAGTAGGGCATACCTGTGTGTGCCTCGAATCCTAGTATTGGGGGCAGATTGGGGCAGATCCAGGGATCAAGTCAGCCTAGCTGCGCTGGGGCACTTCTGTGAGAAACTGTTTCAGGGGAATAAGGTGAAGCAAGATACCCCTGTCATCCAGGATATGCACATTTACGTACACACACACACACACACACACACACACACACACACACACACACACTGTTCTGCTGGGGAACAGAGGAGCCCACCCTTCAGAGGGCCTGGCAGCGGGGAGGAACTGACCCAGACATGACCACGGACATCACCTGAAGTGAAGGAAGGAAGAGGCCCCCCTGCAGCTGGAGCCTAGGATAAGGCCTCCTAGGTCTTGTCAGGTCTGTAAAATGCTTAAGGGCAAAGGCTTCTCCATTGATGGGCTGGGCAGCTGGGCCGGGGAATATCTGATTACTTCTACATGTTATCTGGAGAGCAGAATAAAGAGTCTCTGTTGAGAAACTGCTAGTGTCTGTCCACTAGGGTCTGCCTCCCTGAGTTCTGACCTGGCCACTGCCCATGCTAGATAAAGAAGCCATTGACTCAGCCAGGCCAGGCCGAGGAGCCTGGCATCCTGGGATCTTTAGTCTCCTGAGGCCTATGAAATCGAGCTGGAAACACTCTTTGAATGGCTTTGAAGTTGAGAGAGCAGCAGGTAGTCCCACCCACAGGAACTGGAGACCCCACTGTTGGAAGCGGTTGCATGGGGTTCTTGGGGGAGGGTGCAGCGCACAGACAGCATCCACAGGTGGATTTACTAAAATTGCGGCAGGATCCAATCTTCAGGAAACATCCTGTTGGTGAGGTTTGGGAAGTGAAATTACTGGCCTCTAGCTCTGAAGAGCTCAGGCATTCAACTAAACTGTAGCTCTTCAAAGGGAGGGAGGACACTGGGGGTGGGGCTCAGGTGACAGAGTGCTTGCCTAGCGTGCATGAAGGCCGGGGTTCCAGGCCCAGAACCACACAAACCACACGCGGCTCGTCCTCTGGTCCCATCACTAAGGAGGTACAGGTGGGAGGGTCAGAAGTTCAAGGCTGACCTGAGAGCAGCTGTGGCCGCCTACACATGACGGGGCTTCAGCAGTCAAACATGGATCAGAAAGGAGCTTAGGGGCCCTTCTCTCCCCATTGACTACTGGCTACCAATAGACTCCGAGAGAGGGATAGTCATTGTGTACCACCCAGGAGCCCTCCCGCTCAATCCCACGGTTATACAGACATTTCCAGTTAAACTCATTGGATCTCAAAACAAAGCAAAACAAAAAACACCCCACAAAGTCAAAATATGGTGTTTGTGTTTGTTGTTGTTTGTTTGAAGGGAATTTGTAGGTAGGCAGGGGAGGGTAGGATTCAGGTAGGAGGGATGTAATAATCAGAGTGCACCTTATACATGCATGAAATTGTCAAAGAACAAAATATAAATTAAAAAAAAAGTTCAAGGTCATCCTCAGCTGCATAGTGAGCTTGAGGCTAGCCTGGAGTACCGGAGATCCTGTAAATAGCCTCAGGAGAAGATCTGGTCCAGGGACCGCTTGTTGTAGACCTGCAGCTGCTGGAATGAAAGCCAGTCACTAAGCTGACAGGCAGCCGCCGCGGCAGGTCAGGCCCCAGGCCTGGGGCCCAGGAGCCACCTCCTGGTCAGGCAGAGCCCTGGCAGGTCAGGCCCCAGACAGACTGGAACTAGGGACTTGCAAGCCCAGGCCCTAAGGAGGCCAGCGCTGCAGCTTGCCCTATGCTCATCACCCACCCCAAGCCTCTGGGGAATCAGAAGAAACTGCTGACCTGTCCCCTAGAGAAATAATTGCATTAGTAAGGTGGCCTCTGGTGGCTTCGTCAGCGGTTTCAAGGCTTTGAGTTGAGTAATCCTTTGGCGTCTGCCCTAGCAGCTGGCGGTCACAGGCTGGGGGACACCCTCCCCCCCCCCCCCCGCCCCCAGCTAACCCCTACACAGTATATCTCCTGTCATCTCACCCTCACCACACAGCTCAATTCTGGGGGAGCCCGAGATGCCAAAGACGAGAATGTCGGGGAATACAAATTCAGAAACAGATCTTCTGTCCAGCGACTACCTTCTGACCAGATGCTAAGCTAAACTCTAACCCCATTTCTGGAATCTTCCATCTGGAGTAAGCTTCAACATTAAGGACAGACAGAGCCTGGCCCCGCACAAGATCTAGCTGTAGAGAATGGGTAGGTTGAGAGGACACTGAGCAGGTCTGGAAGGCTGGGTAAGGATGAAGCAGGTGAGCAGGAGGGCGCCCCCTTACCTACTCAACCTGTTTGCTCTGCCTTCAGGGCCTGACCAGAGCAGTGCCCCACAGGGAAGGCATTCCATCTGTCCCGTGGTCAGATTTTCCCAGCACTCACCTAGAGCACACACCTGGGGAGCCAAGGTCACTGGGCTCAATTTGCCCCAAAGCCTCCACAAGACCCTCCTGGGGCCACCCTAGGACTTTATCTCTTCCTTGTCCTGCCTCTATATAGTCAGCACCAAATGAGTCAAGGCCACCTGGGAGAGAAGAAAAGCTCCCTTTGGTGCAGGCCTCACCCTGGCTCCTCCCTCCACCCTGCTAACCATGACAGTCCATCTCCCATCCGTCCCCAGGACACATCCACCTGCTTTACAGGTGAGAAAACAGAAATGCACAGAGCTTGGTGCTGGCCAGAAACTCTGCTTCGGGCCCTGGGTCCTGTCTTTAGCTGGCCCCTCTTCCCGGCACAGGCTCACCCAGGTGTCTCACTGGAGACTCTGGGGTGGATCTGCAGTGATTAATGCCCACTTCCATCCCCATCTCCATCCCTACCTCTTTACTGCTCCATAGCTGTGTGGCTTGGGGCACCTCCCCACTCTGGGCCTTTCTGACTCAGTCTCCCAGCTGCTGTTGAGGCTCACAGGGTCAGCTTCTCTGTAGGGTCGTTGTGAGGTGTGAGTATGACACCATGGTGGTTTGTGGGAGAAGTCTCTGAACACTTTCCCAGAGCGTTTCACGGCTGAGACGCCGTCTTTGCCTCCTCCTCCCCATACCTCCAGGTTCTTCATTTCCCTCCGCATTGGCTCAGCCAGACACCCTCGGCTCAGCCTGACCTGTTCTGCCCCCCGACATGATTGACCACCACCCCCAAGTCCTTGGGCCCCACTTCTTACATGTCTATGCAGGCCAGTGGGGGATGGGTGAGATGTGGGGGCATAGATAGATCTGGGGTGAGGAGCAGAGGACAGAGACTCTGGTGAGAGAGAGCCTGGCATGAAGCTGTCACTGACGCCATGAATGCCAGTCCTTCAGACCGCCCACGGAGAGAATAGAAACATTACTAGGGTGACTTTTGGATGAATATGATGACATATTCCAAGTACAGACCCGGGCTCTGATGCCCTGGCTTGGCTGCTAAGTGGAGCGTCAGGCCTCGTCCATGAAGGGTCCTGCCGGGCTTCTGGGTCAGAGTGAGGACAGAGAGGACAGGTGAGAGGCTCGTGGCCTCGGCGGATCACCCTGCAAAGCCCCTGAGCTGACTTTCCAAATCCCCAATAGTGCTTCCCTGTCACACGGAGGGTTAGCCCCACTTAGGAGGCCACGCTCCACCCGTCCGTCCGTCCGTCCGTCCCCTTAACTCCGTGATCCCTAAGAAGCTCCCAGGCTCTAATGCAGGACAGAACTGCCCACCCTGTGAGGCATGGCCAAGCTGAGGGTGGTACTCCCCTTGCCCCAGACCAACATGGGACTTCTGCCCCTCTTGGGCCTGGGGAGAGGACAGCAAAGGACAGGCTGGCAGGGACAGGACCGGATGTTTACTGGGGTGGACAGGATGTTGTTTACTGGGGTGCTGCCTCAGGCTTCTTAGTACCAGGCACCAAAACACATTCTGGGAAATATTTAACTTCATTTTTCCACTTCTACCGGAAGACAGGTATTTAGAGAAAACTGGGGTTCGCAGACGCTGTCCCTTGCTCGGGATGCATGGCCCATGACAGAGCAGGGATACGCATGGGGAGGTGGCTCTACCTTGCCCTCACCTCTCTTCCTGTGGCACCAGGAGGCACAGACTTGCACTCACTCTTCCTCCACAAAACCATTTCAGGTTTAAGCTGGGCAGGGGGACCTGGGTTTAGCAGGGATACCGCCTGCCTGGCACTGGAGTCCAGGCCAGGGGAGGAGGTGGAGGCCGCCTGGGCACTCAGAGCCTGCTCTGGGCAGCTGTGTCCCACCTCATCGTGCCGTGGGAAATGCCCACCAGCTTCTCCACTGCCCCAGGTCTACCCAACACCCTCCGCTGGACCTGATCACAGAGACAGCTGGAGATGCTAGCCTTCCAGTGGGCGGGTCCCCAAAGCGCGGGGACCCAAGCAGTCCTTTACTAGGATAGAGGGTAGGCTTCCCAGAACCCAAAGTGAGCGAGCCCCCAGGGGCAGGTGTCCACACAGGCACAGCGCTACATACACACACCTCAAATACATGGCGAATGTCACAAAAGCATTTAAAGTCCTCGGGGAGGCGGGATCTACAACATGCCCCCTCATAAGATTTGTCACTGGTTAACAGTCTCAGCCAGGCCCCTTGGTCCCATGCAGTGTGTGTAAGGACGGCAACAATGAAGGATGGACAGGGATGCTCGCAGCCGGGGAGTCAGCCTGAAGACAGCAGGGCTGCCCAGCTCCCAGGGGCACCTGGGTAATGCTGCAGGTGTGGCCAGTTGATCCCCTGTGGAGACAGTAAAGATTAAGAGGATCATACACTGTATCCAGAGCTGTGCTGGGAGAAGTCTGGACCCAGAGCCAAGGTGGTGAGAAAGCTCCAGAAGGAAAAACTTGTAACTCACAAGGGAAGGGAAGCCGAGGAGAGACGGGCACAGACAGACAGACAGACAGTAGACAGCAGTAGACACAGAGACATAGCTGGGCCCAGCAGCTGCTTGCAGGCAGGTAACAGGTGGCCCTTGGGACCTGCCATACCCAATGAGCTCTACAATGGCTGCTGTGGCTGTGGCTGTCACAGCCTCCAAGAAGGAGTCTCCGAGCAGGTGGGGCCTTGGAGAGGATCCAACAGGTATGACTTTTTTTTTTTCCTGGAGGTGAGACCTGGGCCCTTGAGGAAGAGAATACAAGCTGTAGGTTCAGGGGGCCACGAGAGGAGCTTGAGCCATGTAGTCCCAGCTCCCAGGCTATGAGTGAGCGTGAAGGGCCGGCTGACAACCCCCGAAACCCTAGGACCTCAGAGGCCAGCAGAGCAGGACCTAACAGGGGAGCTGCCGAGCAGGGAAATGGTGCTCTTGAGACACAAAGAGATCCTTACGACTGTTTTCATGAGAGCCTGAAGCCGCCCACGGCGAGGGGCTGGGGCTGGGGCTGGGAACGTGGAGGCGGCGTGATTGTCTTGCTGGATATAGGCTAGGAATGGAGTAGAGATGGTAAGAGATGGGAGCTGGGATTGGGGTACCGCAGTGGGGAGACTGCTTTTCTGGGTGGGAGTGACATGTCTATGTCTAGATAGGGAAGGTGGGAGGGAACCTATGGACTTGGAAAAGGATGAAGGGGGGGTGCGCGCATGCGCGCTCGCAGCCATCTCAGTCCAGCCCTGCCTCCCCACGCAGGTGTGGGGCCCTCACTCCAGTGCCGAGTGTGTGGGGACAGCAGCAGCGGGAAGCACTATGGCATCTACGCCTGTAATGGCTGCAGTGGCTTCTTCAAGAGGAGTGTGAGGAGGAGGCTCATCTACAGGTGCCCCGGCGCTGCCGGCCTGCCCCAGTGTGCCTCGCGCGGGTGGAGGTGGTTCAGGGGACGCCAATGCCCAAACCCAAGGCCTAGGGCCTGGGCATGACATTGGTCCCCCAGGAGCTCCCTGTCCTCTGCAGATGCCAGGTGGGGGCAGGAATGTGCCCAGTGGACAAGGCCCATCGCAACCAATGCCAAGCCTGCCGACTGAAGAAGTGCCTACAAGCAGGCATGAACCAAGATGGTGAGTGGTGGGCACAGTGGGACGGGAAGGGCAGATGAGCAGGTGGTATTACTGCCGAGGGTCGGGCAGGGTGTCCTGAGTCTCCCCGCCTTCCAAGCTGTGCAGAATGAACGCCAACCCCGAAGCATGGCCCAGGTCCAGCTGGACGGCATGGAAGCAGGCAGTGATCCCCGACCTGAGCCCTTGGTGGCCTCCCCTGCCTTGGCAGGGCCCAGTCCCCGAGGCCCCACAGCTTCATCTGCAGCCAGAGCCATGGGCCACCACTTTATGGCCAGCCTCATCACCGCCGAAACCTGTGCTAAGCTGGAGCCCGAGGATGGTAAGTGGAAGAGGGTATGGGGCGTGGATCCTCTCACCCGACTTCCACAGAGCGGGCGCTAAGACCACAACCTCCTCCTCCCTTGACAGCTGAAGAGAACATTGATGTCACCAGCAATGACCCCGAGTTCCCTGCATCCCCCTGCGGTCTAGATGGCATCCATGAGACATCAGCTCGCCTACTCTTCATGGCTGTCAAATGGGCCAAAAACCTGCCTGTGTTTTCCAACCTGCCCTTCCGGGACCAGGTACACCACGCAGCCTGCCTGCTGGAGCTGGGCCAGGCACAGTTCGGGGTCATAGGTCTGTCAGCTTGGGGGAACATGTACCCCTGGGCTGGTAAGGGATGGAGGCTTACATGACTCAGATGGTGACCATGGGGTACTTGTGTCTCTGAGTTGGGGATGATCAGGGCAGTGGCAGTGGCAATATATAAATCTCTGGGGGAAGGTTGCTCACCAGAAATGCATAGAGCCTAGGATGCAGGGTAGGACCCGTGGCTCTCTGGGTCCATTGTCTTTCCTTCTGCACACTGAGACAGCAATCTGCATACTCTGAAAAACAGAGTGGCTGACCCTGGGTGTCTTTAGAGCAAGGCTCCCCATGACTTCAGGCTTGAGTGTCACCCCAGCCTTTCCACATGTGGAAAAGTGCTCTGAGCCGGTAAAGATCTCACAATGATCCAGGAGAGAGCGGCTGCCAGATGGGCTGAGCCCTCAACAAGGCTGTGTGTTTGGAGGGAATAGCTTGGAAGAGTCAACCAGTTCCTTGAACTCACTCAACATGACACTCTTGGAATCATCTGGAGACTGTCCAGCATCCCTGGACTCTGGGCTTATCCTGAATGGCCCAGCCACAGCTCTGGATAGCATCCACAAGGCATCTGGAAACATAGGTAGCTGAGCCAGAGACTGTGTAGACCGAGGTCAGGAGGAGGCTCTCAGCACCTGGGAGCAGCCCTTCTGTCCCTGGAGAAGGTGGCAGGCAGAGAGCACCAGGAACTGTGCCCCAGTGCTGACACTTGAACCCTCTCTGGTCACAGGTGATCTTGCTGGAAGAGGCATGGAATGAGCTTTTCCTCCTGGGAGCCATACAGTGGTCTCTGCCCCTGGATAGCTGCCCACTGCTGGCCCCACCTGAGGCCACCAGTGGCGGTGGCAGTGGCTCTCAGAGCAGGCTGGTCTTGGCTAGTGCAGAAATGCGCTTCCTGCAGGAGACCATCTCCCGGTTCCGGGCGCTGGCAGTGGACCCCACGGAGTTTGCCTGCATGAAGGCCCTGGTCCTCTTCAAACCCGGTACTAAGCCTTCCAGAGACATGGTTGAGAGTTTTAAAAAAGGGGGGGGTTCTGGTGACTTTTTTTTTTTTTTTTTTTTTTTTTTTTTTTTTTTTTTTTTTTTTTTTTTTTTTTGCTGGGCTCCTTATAAACTCACCTGGGTGTAGATGGATAGCCCTCATTCTCCAGAGGGGGGGCAGAGAAAAGAGGCATGGCCTGATACTTTTGGGGGCTGTGGGATCAGGCAGGCTTCTGGAAGGGAGCTCACTGGTACTGTTTCTCCCCAGAGACACGAGGCCTGAAGGATCCTGAGCACGTGGAGGCTCTGCAGGACCAGTCCCAAGTGATGCTAAGCCAACACAGCAAGGCTCACCACCCCAGCCAGCCTGTGAGGTGACAGTGTGACACACCTACCCATCCCCCTCCCCACTTCCCTGCGTCCTTCCACCCACCTCTCCCACACCATCTCTGCGCTTCCCTGCTTAGACAGGATAAGAGGGCTGTCAGTCGGCAGCCTCTACCCCACACCTCCTGTGGACAGACACAGTGCCAGGTCCCAGGAGGGCGCCAAAAGACAAAGCCGGCAGGGACGGATGCCCAGCACAGTGGCCACATGAAAGACAAGGGTCACCCAGGTCAGGTATGGAGAGTGGCTTATATCTGAAGGGGTAGCAAAGGTCAGGTTTTTAAAATTTTTTACGTTTTAAAGGCAGAATTTCAGTTTGTATCCCACACTGGTCTCAGATTCAGAGTTTTCCTGCCTCTGCTTCCCAAGTGCTAGGCTCACAGGTGTGCCCTTCTACGAGGCCAGCCTTTGACAGGGACATGTCTCCATAAGAGGATACGGTCTAAAGAGAAGAGAATATCTTATCTAGGAAGGTAGAGAGAGACCAGCAATATGCATTTTTAGACAAGAGTCCAGTACAAAAGGTTCACGAGTCTTGCTGGTAGCAAGTGGGAAACTGAGCCAGAGTTAACCTGGGGCCAGCCCGATTAGAGCTCGGAGTGCCCACTACAGGCCTATCTGATGAGAGAGGTGGGGGGCACACCTGAGACTCTGTGGGAGGGGGCTTCATGCTCAGGACTGGATCTCATGCAGACCTGTGTGGCGGTGGGCACAAAAGACATAACAGCAGCCTCCCTGTCCGGAAGATTCCATGGGGTCATGGCCTTGGGGAGGGACCAAAGGGAGCAGGAAACAGACCACAGTGTACAACTCTGTCCCTTTCTAAAAGGGACAGATTTAACCTCTGGATAAAGGCAAGGGATGAGCAAAGAGATGCATTTGGGAGTAGAGGCTTTCAAAACTTAAAAGGAAAGTTGAGAGTCCGGAAGGAACTTGCCAGGCCCTGGGGAAAGTATGGAAGGCATGCTGTAGAAATGTGCAGAAAAGCCAGGCATGAGCCAACATGGATGTAGCCGGCACAGGCTGAATGGGGGTGGTAGATGCAGGTGGAGGGTCCCAACACAGTCAGCATTAGGACTTACATCAGCTGGCTTATACCACTCAGCCAGGCTTCTGTGGACTATTCTAGACCACATTATGTGCATTCTTCCTGAAGAACTGGTGACATCATCCTCAAGCACCTCTCCAGGAGGTGAGGTCAGCACCGTGTGGGTCAGGAGCAGAGGAAGCATGGGGGCGTGTCAGTGCTAAGGCCTGACATAGCATCACTGGAGTGGTCATCACAGACAGCCAGAAATCAGGGGTCTCCCTAGTCCCCTCCGAGACCAGCCCCCAGAGGCATCCTGGCCTGTTGATCATGTATCACAGTTCAAAAATCCTGAGGAAGATTTTCTATGTAGGGATAGATGGGACTAACGCAAATGTCTGCCAAGTAAACGTGAGGACCTAAGTTTGGATTCCCGGCACTCACATAACAGCCAGGCATGGTGACGTGGATCTGTCCCCTCAGCACTGAACTGGGTAGAGATAGGTGGATCCATGGAACTCACTGGCTGGCCAGCCTAGCTGAACTGATGAGTTCCAGGTTCAGTTGAGAAACCATCTCTCAAAACATAGGGAGGAAGGGCTAGAGAGATGACTCAGTAGATAAGAACTTGTGCTGTACAAGCAAGCATGAGGATGTGGGTTCAAATCCCCAGCACTGTGTGAAAAAAGCTGACAATGCTGGGTAAGGCAGGCTAAATAAATAAAAACCAGTGTCGGGCGGCAGACACAGGCAGATCCCAGGGCTCTCTGTAGCCAGCCTAAATAATGAGGTTTTGATTCAGAAAGAAACCTTGTCTCAAGGGAAGAAAGCAGAGATGTACAGGATGCCTGATGTCATCTTCTGACCTCTGTTAGTATATACACACACACCAACACACGAAATGAAAATACAGCGGGTAAGGATTGAGGAGATGACTTCTGGTCTCCACACACACAGGCTCCCTGGATCTCTTTTGTCCTTTGTTGCCCTGGGCAGAACCGGGTGTCACTGAAGGGTCCCCAGACTCTGGGTCAATGTATTTCAGCACAACCTACATAGAGACACTGAAACAAAGCCCCACTAACTAAAACACACCCTTGCTCTGTATGCTCTGCTCTGACACTGCTTTAAGATGAAGTTCCATGTAGTCCAAGCTAGCCCTGAACTCACCATGCCCCTGGGGGTAGCTTAGGCTCCTGATCTTCCTAGGGTGATGGCAGGCAGGTATGTGCCACCACACATGGTCTATGTGCTGCTGGGATGGAGCCCAGTGCCTTGTGCCTGCTAAGCAAGAGCTCTACTAAGACCGGGTGGTGGTGCACAAACCTTTAATCCCAGCACTGGGGAGGCAGAGACAGGCGGATCTCTGTTAGTTTGAGGCCTGGTCTACAGAGAGAGTTCCAGGACAGCCAGGACTACACAGAGAAACCCTGTCTAGAAAAAAAACAAAAAACAAAACAAAAACAAAAACTCTATCTAGTGAGTTATATCCTCAGTTTCTATTTTGCTGTTCATTTTCTATTTTATTTTTAAAAGTCCATTTGTGAGGCATTACCTACCATTATCTACCAGGCGGGCCATACCTGCAGTTAGCAATAACTCTCCACTAGACTTCACAGGTACTTCTTCCCTCTCCCTAGACCAGTAAGACAGGAGAGAGGAAGGTAGACCGGGCATGGGGGTGGGGGTGGGGTGGAGGGTAGGGTAGGGGTGGTGACTGCTCACAAGAGAAAGGAGGCTTTTAGGTGGGCAAAGCCACTCAGGAGCTCAGAGAGAGAATGGCAGGGCTTCTCAAGCTCCCCAGGTGCAGTCAAAGCAGCAGCTGCCTTGGGGAGCTCAGCCTCTGGGTGGTGGGCGCTGGCCCCAGGGCGAGGACTTCTCCCAGGGACGTCTGGTTCTGGTTCTTTTTTGTTCTTTCTTTCTTTCTTTCTTCCTTCCTTTCTTCCTTCCTTCCTTCCTTCCTTCCTTCCTTCCTTCCTTCCTTCCTTCCTTCCTTCCT